AAATCTAGAGATAACTGAGTAAATTTTGTCAATGTTGCAAGCAGACAAGAAACTGGAGAATAAAACTTTTGCTTGTATGGCACTTTATATGTGAGAAAGAACTCTGAAAAATGTAAGCCCCACAACCACATAGTGAGATAAGAGAATCAATAATGCTATTGTAAATGGTTTCAATAATGTTATTTATTCTATCGAAATAGCATCACCGCATCAATTTACAAATATATAAACTCTATGACTCAATTTTCTTTAGTGACTCTTCTAAAGTGACCTAGCTTATATGCAGGGAGGCCAAGGACAGAGGCAAGAGTCATGAACACACAGAGACCTAGGACTCCAGCCATCAGCACTCACACTTCACACATGTGTGTGGCCATCTACGCCACTGACAGGCTGAAGAGGTGTGACACTTATGGAATCAAATGCAGCCTAATCTGCAATTGGATGTCTGCCTGTGGGCTAATTTATTCCTATGACTGTGGTGTTTTAGGAAAGGATGGAGTTGAAGGTAGCAGAAGCAGACAAAACTGATGATGGCTGTAACAGAGCCAAATGGGCAGCATTTGTCAAACTGGGTCTCATTGGTCAGTTATAGCATATGTAAATATTAAAAGCTGAATTTAAATTTGTTTTAATAAGATATAATTTGTGTCTGTTTTATGCATTGGAATCCTGGATAATCCTTCATACACCAAAAAAGTTTTGGTATTTAATAAGGTTCACAGAGAAGAGGACCAGGGCAAAGGAGTGAAGCTGTGTTATCTGAAGTTATTTAAAACTTTTATTTTTAGAAAATTCTGGGAGAAGGTTGTCTGTGGAGACTAGCACAGAGCAACACTTCATTTCTACACTTTGAAGACACTATATTCGCATTTCTTATTAAACAGATATCTTTCTTATTCAGCTAACTGAAAAGAGCATCTCTGGATTTTTATAAAATCTAAAGTCAAAACTGAAGAGGCAAAACAGGGGACCAATAAGGGGCAGGCCATTTGGTTCAGGCCACTAGCTACTGCAGTAACTGGAACCTTACCCAGACAGCACTTAAAGGAAAGGCATGATACTAGGGGAATCGTGCCAGAGACTGCATGATAGAATTTTGCAAGACCAATGACTTCTTCATTGCAAATATCTTTTTTCAACAACATAAACGACGACTATACATGTGGACCTTGCCAGATGGAATACACATGAATCAAATTGACTACATCTATCTTAGTTATCTAGTGCTGCTATAACAGAAATACCACAAGTGGATGGCTTTAACAAAGAGAAATTTATTCTCTCACAGTCTAGGAGGCTAGAAGTCCGAATTCAGGGTGCCAGATCCAGAGGAAGACTTTCTCTCTCTGTCAGCTCTTGAGGACGGTCCTTGTCAACAATCTTCTCCTGGTCTAGGAGCTTCTCAGTGTAGGGACCCTGGATCCAAAGGACGAGCTATTCTCCTGGCTCTTGTTTCTTGGTGGTATGATGTCCCCTGTCTCTCTGCTCGCTTCTCTCTTTTATATCTCAAAAGAGATTGGCTTAAGACACAACCTAATCTTGTAGACTGAGTCTTATCAAAATAACTGGTGCTAATCCCATCTCATTAACATCATAGAGACAGGACTGACAACACATAGGAAAATCACATCATATGACAAAATGGTGGACAATCACACAATACTGGGAATCATAGCCTAGCCAACTTGACAGGTATTTTTGGGGGACACAATTCAATCCATGACAACATTGGTGGAAAGAGATGATGGAAAGGCTCAATATCATCAGTCAGAACAAGGCCAGGGGCCAGCTGCGGAACAGACCATCAGTTGCTCCTATGCAAGTTCAAATTGAAGCTGAAGAAAATTAGAACAAGTCCATGAGAGCCAGGGTACAACCTTGAGCACATCCCACCTGAATTTAGAGACCATCTCAAGAATAGATTTGATGCACTGAACACTAACGACCAAAGACCAGACAAGTTGTGGGATGACATCAAGGACATCACACATGAAGAAAGTAAAAGGTCATTAGAAAGAAAAGACCAAAATGGATGTCAGAAAAGACTCTGAAACTTGCTCTTGAATGCAGAGTAGCTAAAGCAAAAAGAAGAAATGATCATGTAAAAGAGCTGAACGGAAGATTTCAAAGAGTGGCTCGAGAAGACAAAGTAAAGTATTACAATGACATGTGCAAAGAACTGGAGTTAGAAAACCAAAAGGGAAGAACATGCTTGGCATTTCTCAAGCTGCAAATACTGAAGAAAAAATTCAAGCCTCGAGTTGCAATACTGAAGGATTCTCCTGGGAAAATATTAAATGAAACAGGAAGCATCAAAAGAAGATGGAAGGAATAGAGTCACTATACCAAAAAGAATTGGTCAATGTTTAACCATTTCAGGAGGCAGAATATGATCAGGAACCGATGGTACTGAAGGAAGAGGTCCAAGGTGCACTGAAGGCACTGGTGAAAAACAAGGCTCTAGGAATTGAGGGAATATCAATTGAGATATTTCAACAAACAGATGCAGTGCTGGAAGTGCTCGCTCGTCTATGCCAAGAAATTTGGAAGACAGCAACCTAGCCAACCGACTGGAAGAAATCCATATTTATGCCTATTCCAAACAAAGGTGATCCAATCAAATGCAGAAATTATCAAACAACATCATCACACACAAGTAAAATTTTGCTGAAGATCATTCAAAAGCGGCTGCAGCAGTACATCAACAGGGAACTGCCAGAAATTCAAGTAGGATTTAGAAGAGGACATGGAATGAGGGATATCATTGTTGATGTCTTATGGATCCTGGCTGAAAGCAGAGAATACCAGAAAGATGTTTACCTGTGTTTTACTGACTATGCAAAGGCATTTGACTGTGTGGATCATAATAAATTAAAGATAACATTGCAAAGAACGGGAATTCCAGAACACTTAACTGTGCTCATGAGGAACCTGTACATAGATCAAGAGGCAGCCATTCAAACAGAACAACGGGATACTGCATGGTTTAAAGTCAGGAAAGGTGTGAGTCAGGTTGTATCCTTTCACCATATCTATTCAATCTGTATGCTGAGCAAATAATCCAAGAAGCTGGACTATATGAAGAAGAACAGGGCATGAGGATTGGGGGAAGACTCATTAACAACCTTTTTTATGCAGATGACACAACCTTGCTTGCTGAAAGTGAAGAGAACTTGAAGCACTTACTGAAGAAGATCAAAGACCACAGCCTTCAGTATGGATTACATCTCAACATAAAGAAAACAAAAATCCTCACAACTGGACCAATAAGCAACATCATGATAAATGGAAACAAGACTGAAGTTGTCCAAGATTTCATTTCACTTGGATTCACAATCAACACCCATGGAAGCAGCAGTCAAGAAATCAAACAACGCATTGCATTGGGCAAATCTGCTACAAAAGACCTCTTTAAAGTGTTAAAAAGCAAAGATGTCACCTTGAAGACTAAGATGCATCTGACCCAAGTCATGGTGTTTTCAATTGTCTCATATGCATGCGAAAGCTGGACAATGAATAAGGAAGACTGAAGAACTGACGCCTTTGAATTGTGGTGCTGGTGAAAATACTGAATATACCATGGACTGCTTAAGAACCAACAAATCTGTCTTGGAAGGAGTACAACCAGAATGCTCCTTACAAGCAAGGACGGCGAGACTTCATCTCACATACTTTGGACATGTTATCAGGAGGGACCAGCCCCTAGAGAAGGACATCATGCTTGGTAAAGCAGGAGGTCAGTGAAAAAGAGGAGGACCCTCAACAAGATGGACTGATACAGTGGCTGCAACAATGGGCTCCAGCATAACAATGATTGAAGGGGGCACAGGATTGGGCAGTGTTTCGTTCTGTTGTACACAGGGTCGCTATGAGTTGGAACCGACTCGCCGGCACCTAATAACACCAACATGTTGTCCCTCACTCCAATTCTGGGGCACCATAGCCAGTGCTTTGTTTCTTCCATATTGCTTCTTGGTTTCTCACACCTCTCTGCATAAACATAACCTGACCTCACAGGACACGTTAAATGACTGGACTATTGGACTCTTCTTTTATATTTATTACATTGATATGCTTAATAACTTATGGGATGATACCACTCTTCCTCAGGTGCTGAAAAGGCAGCTGAGCTATACTTGTGCTAATAACAGACATGCTTCATCTGTGATCCGAAAGTAAACAGGAGACTTCTTGGTAAGTAAAGAGCCCTGTCGGCACAGTAGTTAAAACTCTCAGCTGCTAACCCAAAGGTCAGCAGTTCGAATCCAGCGGCCACTCCACAGGAGAAAGATGTGACAGTCAGCTTCCATAAAGATTTCAGCCTGGGAAACCCAACTGGGCAGTTCTACTCTGTCCTATAGGGTAGCTATGAGTCGGAGGCAACTTGGAGGCAACAGGTCTTGATAAGTACAACAGATACACTAATATTTTTGAATTTTTAGAAGATCCAGTAGAGTATGTTTCTCATAATCCATCATTTATAGAATCCAAATATTTCAGTCACTCAATAAGTACATATTCACTAGTTTACCGGTGAGCTTTACTCTCTGTGTTTAAAAAAGCATTCCAGTTTATAAACTACAGTTGAATGACTGTCAGCTAAGGCTGCCTAATTGTGTGTGACTTAGGAAGGGCATATGACCATGAATAAATAAATTAAACAAAGACTTTTTCTCTGGCCTTGTGGTTTAAAAGGCAATATTTTGATCTAAAAAATAAAGTCTAGTTAACATTTATTTGGACTTGAGCTTATTTCAGAACTAGAATAGACTAATTCATACTTTTTTAAAGTAATATAATTTTCATCATTTCTAGAAAGGAAATTCATATCATATAGACTATATAATCTGTATATAAAATAATATCTACAAAGCTAGTATTATCATTAATTCTATTACCTTACCAATTTATTTATTTTCAATGAATTTCAACTGCTTTTACTCTGTAACAGAGGGTTCCTGATTTCAATATGTCACTGAGAATTTTTTATCACCCACCTGCATAGTAAGAGAATGTTCGCTTGTTCCGATCAAAAACAAACCAGCGTTTTTTCCAAGTTTTAATCTTCCCACCCATTTTGATAAGGTATCCTCGACAGGTCTTCTCTGTGATTGAGACATGGTAACAGGTATCGACATTGTGGCCCGCAGTCTCCACGTGACTTCGCAAATCAAAGTCTTCCTTCCGGACAGGCAGGTATCGTGTCAAAGGACGCGCCTGGAAAAGTGCAAAACCCAGTCCATCTATAACTAATTATTTGTTGTGTTTTAGGTCACAGATGTTTAAAAGCTGAAATTAACTAAAAAGCCTAAGCTTTAAAATAGACATGTGATTATGAGTTTAAGACGAAAGAAAAATTAAAAAAAAAAAAAAGTACTTATCATTTGGAGACTAAAAAGTCGATGGTATTTTGAGAAGGACGATACAATAAGGGGGAAAAAATAAGTGGATAAACTCAGGTCAATCAATTCTACTCCTTGAGATGGGCAAGTGAGAAGACGGAAAAAGATCATCTATCTTAGCTTTAACAGAGGCACGTGGCACTTAACAAACACAAGGACGTGAAGCATGAAGTTACCTGGGCGGTTTCCTACAGGTGAGGACTCTGCCATTATACAGTTCCCAGGGTTTCTCCCTGCCACAACTTATCAGAATAATTCTCTTTACATAATCTCAGGCATGATGTGATTGATTCAGTATTATTTAATAAGCATAACCCGCATAAAGTTCACCCAAAGCTGTATATGTTGGCTTACATACACTTTCTAAGTTGAAGTCAGAGGTGTATGTTTTGAAGTGTGAAGCTAAAATAAGAAGCAGGATCAAAGATGGACTTAATGGGCTACCCAGGACTGGATGTTGCAGGGATGCACTTACATGCCTTTTATTTTAATAATGGCGGGGTGGAAGTTCATCTAATCTGGGAAGCACATACCACCCTGGGTAATATTTCTAAAACAGTGTTTTATTTTATCCTGTTAAATAACCCAACCCCTCCCCCCCGGGGAAAATTACCTAATCATATACTTGGAGGCAAAATGTATTAATCAGAAATAAAATAGAATTGTGTTTTTTTGGTTTTGCTTCAGATACCACACAGGCATGGATGACCTTCACTGCTAATCAGAGATTGGAAGAGGCTTGGAATAACGAAATGAAATGAACACGTTTTATTTTCTATCTTTCCTTCAATATTTTACCTTTGATTCTGTGGCACTCTGACTGGAGACAGATGGCACAGGCTCACTGATAAATCAGTGCACACAAGGTCTTAAGGACAGGCTTCGACTGTTGCACTACAAACTCAGCAATTATAAAGAATAAAGGAAATGATACCTTTTATCTTTAAGTTTCATAAACCTTGGCAATTTAAATTACGTGGTACTTAATAAAACTTTATTTTAGTTCCTCAGAAAACATACATTATGTAAGCTGCTCTAGTGACAACAACAGTGACTCAAAGTCTACAATAACCAAGATACAAAGCTAAATAAAACGGGTGGTCTCCCTGAATTTTGCTTGCATTCAATAATCTTAAGAACATGTTTTATGGACATGTGTAGCAAAGGGGACATGTGTGAAAAATACAGTGACTAGAAAACAAAACAGCAAGAAACCAACCTTGGGTAAAACAATGCTGTTCTGGAATGCTTGCTTCTAAAAAAATGACGTAACAGAACCTCTTCTCCTCTTCAAAGGTTTTAGTTTGGGGCTTATATTTGTTTTCAGTAGTAAACAAAAACACTTTTTGAAAAAAACTGCTCAAAAAAATACTGTCCTTTGAAAAGTATTCCAAACAATGGGTGGAAGGAAAAGTACCTCTCATCAGAATGTTCTATGTATAACTAGATGAAAGTGTCATTTGGTTAGCAGGCCTTCAGAGTTTTGAAATGAACACACTGCACACTAGCACGCATCTTAACTACTGAATGTCCACAGCCAGTGCGTGGTGCAGGGGAGAAAGCATCCTCACAGACAGAATGGTCTCCTATGGCCTGACCACAAGGGGGCAGCCTCCTCTTACTCATCCAGATTGACAGACCAACCTGTGCCCTTTGTTTCTCCCTTATTTTCACTTCCTTTTCAATTAACTTCTGCCTCTGGCTAGTTTCTTCCTGCAGTCGTTTTTCCAGGAGTTCTCGACGTCGTTTTTCTTCTTCCAGAGCTCGTTTTTTGGCTTCCATTTCCCGTTCCTAAATATCATCACACAGAATATTATTTTAAGATACATTGGTTATCCTGGAATGAGTTCAACTAATATCCAAAAAGACAATTCTCATTAGACAATTCTTGGTCTACGGCCAAGGTTCTTACAATATATAACCCAACTAAAACAAGCCGTAACCACCCCTTGAACAGCTTTCAAGAAAATCATATGCAAAATGCAAAACAAAGTTTAATTAACAAATATTGGTTTAAAGGGAAAATCTAGCTAGTGATTATATTCAGTTATTTCATGTCTATAACCATAACTTTTCCATTTTCAATCAAAAGTGTTAAAAATTGTCACTCAATATTAGTCATCAGATTTATCCTTTCTTTCGATTGCTGTCTTCTAACTAAAGGCCATGGGTCCTTCCAATTCCTGTTGTTGATCTGCAGCTTCCTGGCTGAAGGTCTCACAGGAAACACGTGGGGGAGTTAGAAAAGGAAAGGAGGATGCAAAGGCAGGATGCAAAGGCATTTTGGGGGATTTCTAAGGAAGTCTGGATTCTGGCTAGAAATAGGGTCACAATACCCTGGGATTTTTGGTATTACAATAGTGCAGTTAAGACAAGCTGGCAGGAATGGGAAAATGCAGACATGACATTCCTCCATGCTCCTTGGCAGGAACACAAAGTAGAAATCAAGGGGAAGATATAATACAGAACCCTCACTTCAGTCTTATGTCAACACATATAAAAATATGGGAAAGTGTAGTGCAGTAAGCAGAACATTTAGGCACCATCCATCTAACACCAGGCTTTTCAGATAAGAAAACCCAGGCTGAGAAAGATTGATAAACTATTCCAAGATAACATCACTTATTAAGACCAAGGAGAGCTTCCTGATTTCAGCGCAGGGCTCTTTGTACCACCAAATCACAAATCTCTAATAAAAAGATAGGAAGCTTACCCTCGATTCAAGTAGCCTTGTCTTTTCTGCGTGAGCCTGTTTCAAAAGTCTCTCCATTTCTTCTATTCTGGCAATATTTGAAGTGCTGGCACTGAGAAAAACACAAAGGCCTTTCAAGGACACTGTTACAGATTGCTAAGTCTCTTTCACACACACACACACACACACACACACACACACAGAGGTTCAACGTTGGTGCATGACAGTCTCCAAAATACACAATCTAAAGGATGTTACTTAATAGTCATTGGTCTGATTAGTTCGGTCAACTCAACTCTGGAAACTGTAGAGGATAGTGACTTACCTCAGTTTAGGAGATAAAATATAGGCAAGCAAAATAATGCTGATGTAAACTGCTATACTCATAAATGAATAAACCAAAACCAAATCTAACCAAGTGTGAACTCAAAATGCTTCCTCCAAAGTCTGAACATTGTGGCCTGCAGGAGACCTTCCTGTTGGTTTAATGATTCAGAGATGGCAGACCAAACAGGTCACCACCAAAGTTCTATGTAGATGACACTTAAGTTGAAAGTTTGGGAAATATGTATCACCAGGTGATTTTGGGTGTGCCTGTATACATGTGGACATTTGTTTATTAAATAATGATGCCAATTAAAAACTGATTTAGTGTAATGTGTGGCTGGAGGGCAGTTTTGTAAATAATACCCATTCACATACCAGTAAGAAAACTACATAAGAGGATTCAAGAGCCTCAAAATAAATGCATCTTGGAAAAGACATCACAAAAAAACAAGTGAAGGAAAAAAACTAAAAGGAGTGAAAGCCGCAAGAAGAGTTAGGGTAATTAAAAGAGAAAGAGAACTTGGAAATGTTATACACTAAACATACAATTTTGTTTTTCACTTACATTTTATCAAGCTATTTTGGGAAGGAGGGAACATGGCCTAGGTCAAAATGTAGTTACTCTGATGGATAGAACCAATGTTGTCCCTTACTCGTATATACTTGTAGAGTCATCTCAGCACCTGTCCCCATACTAGACTCTGGTGAGGACAGAGGCTATCATGCTTACAGGACAGAAATCTGGCACATGGTAGGGATTCATGTTTGCTACATAAATAGATTCACATAAAAACGTAAGATAAGCAAAGCCCTGTTGGTTATAGATTATTATTAATACAGTCTTCCAATATTATATTTTCGATCAAATCAAATCTGGAATAGTTTAAACCTAGAGGTAAAGGTTCTTCTTTTGAAGAGATAATGACCGCAGAAACACAGGACTAATAGGGTTTATCTTAGAATCAGTACTGCTGGCCCTGTCACAAAATGCACCCATACAAGAATGACAGTCTTAGGAATATTGGATTCTTACAAACAACAACTATACTGTACTTTGCAGGGTTTCCTTGGGCCAACTTTTAAACAGGTGTTTTTTCTCCTGAGAAAGAGAAGACTACAGAAACTTTTCATTATTTTCAATAGTTGCTGGAGAAGGTACAAGAGAGTGAGTGCTGTTCTCTCCAGCCAACAAGAATTCAAGAAAAAAAATCTTTTATGTTTCTGCAGGAACTCTTACTCCTCTTCACTGAGAATACCTCACCTCATGGATGGGAAAAGGGCAAACCTCATCAGTCCCACACAGAAAGCCTAAGATAAACCTGCAGGCCATATAACAGCACAAAATTTTATCTCTATTGTATGGAGTTGTCTGTGACATCAGATATGTATGTCTTATCTCTACAATTATTTCTGCTGTATGGAGTCGTCTGTGACATCAGACATCTTAGGTCTACAATTAATTTGGAAACTATTTGAGCTTCACTAGATGAAACTTAGTGAGAAGAGACCTTAAAACTCACCAATAGCCTAACCCCAATTTTTTCCTTTAATTCTTTATACAACATTCCATTTTTCATGTAGCTTGTGCTTGAACATCACGGGTGACAGAAATCTCACTGTATCCATTCTTTCTTTCTTTGGGTAGCACTAGCAGAATGTTGATACTTACAGTGAATCAAAATCCATCTTCCTACAGCTTTCACTCACTGGTCTAAGAATAGCCCTGAAACCATATGAAACCAATCCAGAAGAATCGGTTGAAAACAACTTGGTTAAAAACAAGTATCATCAGTCCTTAGTTTTCATGTATTGGTAATTTTAATACATCTGGGGGAAAATTTTCAAACTTTTATCCATCTTTAAGTATTTTTATTCATTACTCATAATTTTTCAGGATGTTTTCTAAGTTTATAATGTTGTGGTTGTTAGGTGTTGTCAAGTCGGTTCTGACTCATAACAACGTTATTATAACAGAACGAAAACTGCCCAGTCCTGTGCCATCCTCATAATCGTTATGCTGGAGCCCAGTGTTGAAGCCACTGTGTCAATCCACCTCATTGAGGGTCTTCCTCTTTTTCACTGACCATCTACTTTACCAAGCATGATGTCCTTCTCCAGGGACTGGTCCCTCCTGATAACATGTCCAAAGTGTGGGAGACAAATTCTCTCCATCCTTGCTTCTAAGGAGCATTCTGGCTGTACAGATTTGTTCGTTCTTCTGGCAGTCCATGGTATATTCAATATTCTTCACCAACACCATAATTCAAAGGCGTCAATTCTTCTTCAGTCTTCCTTATTCATTGTCCAGCTTTCCCATGCATATTTATTTTATAAAATTCCTAATTTATTTTCTGCCAATTATGCCCAACCTGCTTTTTTTGTCAATGCTCCCATAAATATTTAATTTTCACTCTAAATGGATTAAATGTTTTGAAAACAAATTGGTAGAAATCACATCTTGTCATTTACCATTTTAAGTCTTTATAACTTTTAGGGACATAAGGTCACCTAATTTAAGTATGCTTTAGAAGCTACTTTATATCCTTCTAAAATTTTTTGTTAAAAAATAAAATTTTATCCATGTACTTGCTCCATGTAGCCACTTTTGCTATTGTTGATTTTAATATTTCCTTTATATTTAAGCCACTTTTTTTTTTATTGTGCTTTAAATGAAAGTTTACAGTTCAAGTTAGTTTCTCATACAAAAATTTATACACACACAGTTACGTGACCCTAGTTGCTCGCCCTATACTGCGACACCACACTCCTCCTTTCCACCTCAGATTTCCCACGTCCATTCAACCAGCTCCTGATCCTTTCTCCTTCTCATCTCACCTCCAGACAGGAGCTGCCCAGTTAGTCTCATGTATCTACTTGAGCTAAGAAGAACACTCTTCAGGAGTATCATTTTATGTCTTATAGTCCAGTCTAATCTTTGCCTGAAGAGATGGCTTTGGGAATGGCTTTAGTTTTGAGCTAGCAGAGACTCCAGAGGCCGTGTCTTCCAGGATCCCTCCAGTCTCAGTCAGACCATCAAGTCTGGTCTTTTTACTAGAATTTGAGTTCTGCACCTGACTTTTCTCCTGCTCCGTCAGGGACTCTCTGTTGTGTTCCCTGTCAGGGAGGTCATTTGGTGGTAGCTAGGCACCATATAATTCTTCTAGTCTCAGGATGATGGAGTCTCTAGTTTATGTGGCCCTTTCTGTCTCTTGGGCCAATATTTTCCTTGTATCTTTGGTGTTCTTCATACTCCTTCTCCAGGTGCGTTGGGACCAATTGATGCATCTTAGATGGCTGCTCCCTAGCTTTTAAGACCCAGACACCACTCATCAAAGTGAAATGCAGAACATTTTCTTAATAAACTTTGTTATGCCAACTGACCTAGAGGTCCCCTGAAGCCACGATCCCCAGACCCCAGCCCCTGCTACCCTGTCCCTCAAAGTGTTTGGCTGCATTCAGGAAATTTCTAAACTTTTGGTTTAGTCCAGTTGTGCTGACTTCTCCTGTAGTGTGTGTTGTCCTTCCCTTCACCTAAGATAATTCTTGTCTACTATCTAATTATTGAATACCCCTCTCCCTCCCTCCTCACCCGCATAACCATGAAAGAATGTTTTCTTCTGTGTTTAAACATTTGCTTGAGTTCTTAAAATAGTGGTCTTATACAATATTTGTCCTTTTGCAACTGACTGATTTCACTCAGCATAATGCCTTCCAGATTCATCCATGTTATGAGATGTTTCACGGATTCATCATTGTCCCTTATCGTTGCGTAGTATTCCACTGTGTTCCATAGTTTGTTTATCCATTCATTTGTTGATGGGCACCTAGGTTGTTTCCATCTTTTCGCTATTGTCAACGGTGCTGCAATGAACATGAGTGTACATATATCTATTTGTCTGACGGCTCTTATTTCTCTAGGATATATTCTGAGGAGAGGGCTTGCTGAATCATATAGTACTTCTATTTCTAGCTTTTTAAGGAAGTGCCCATTCGATTTCCAAAGTGTTTGTACCATTTTAGACTCCCACCAACAGTGTATAAGTGTCCCAGTCTCTGTATAACCTCTCCAACATTTACTGTTTAGTGTTTTTTGGATTCATGCTAGCCTAGTTGGGGTGAGATGGTATCTCATTATACTTTTTTTTTTTTCATTGTACTTCAGGTGAAGGCTTACAGAACAAATGCTTTTCATGAAACAGTAGTACACATATTGTTTTATGACATTGGTTAACAACCCCACAACATGTCGACCCTCTAACTTCTCAACCTTTTTTTTTTTT